TCCAGTCCCCGTGATGTGACTACAGGGCGCCTATGATTTGGGACACTGAGATTCTCAGCAAGGATGATCTTTGATGTCCTTAGTAGCCCTTGGAACTGGGAAGTGATGCGATGTGCAGTGTCTGGTCTCCAAGCCAGGTCATTTATATTTCCTGCTGGGAGGAGCCCGGGGGTGATGGTGGGATTTCCCAGGTCACGCCAGCACAGAGTGGCCCAGGGGATGCTTTAGAATTCAGGTGACACCCTGACAAGTCATGCTAGTGACATCTGTAGAAATATGAAAATGCTCGTGGGATGAAAACACACCCCGTATGATCGATCTCCGATTGAGAATGATTCTTCCAAGTTATACTTTGTGGAAACTGTTGCTGGTAATCCCTAGATCTGTTGAATTACTATATTGGTCTTGTGTGTTTCAGACAACTATCCCAAGTGATGCTGAGTAGACACGTGATACCTGTGTCACCACAGAATTTAATCTATTCTGAACTTTGTTCTTACAACATACTTCATTTCTAACAGGCAAAAATGTCTCTCTTCAATTTCTGCCTTTGCTAAATGCATCTGTATAAATATTGAAAAAATAACACAGGTCCAGTGTATTTTCTTGTGCAGATAAAGGCGTTGCATTTTGTACAAGTTAATTCTTTCTGCACTTGGGTATATCTTTGCAGAATTAGTAATGAATTTGCTATGTCAAAATCATTGGTATCTCTAGATGGGAATCTAGAAGCGATTTGTGACATCAGTTTATATACAGTTACCAGTAAGTTGTCAATATCAATGAAGACTTGCAAAATTGTCAAGGTAACTCAAGACCCAGGGCCAGGCAAAATTAATTCTTCCCCTGGAAACTGTCCCATATAAAATACTTGCCAATTATCCATAGCTGGAATGACTTTGAAATGTCTTGGATACGATACTTTTTCCATTCGATTCCCCCAATTATTAAGTTACCTTCATTTTCGCTGTCATAAGCACCATGTCGTTAACCTCCACTACTGTACACTTTAATGTTTTTCTTTTACATTTTTGCAGATGATCGCTTGTCAGATGGAGTAAGAATATCAACTTCTCCAAGACTTCTGAATGATGAGAATGAAGATCCGGTATCATTTCCTGTTCCATCATATTTTTTTCTTTTCTATAAAGTCACGAACCTGTATATTGGCCTTAATTTTTCATCTCTTTTATAAGCTATTTGTACTTTTGTATCCTAATTAGTTAAATTGATACCATTTGAAATGTAAAGGTATTTGACAAAAATATTCAATTTTTATGCAAAGAAATACCTTCTTGGATTCAACTATTAAAAAAAATAGTCCTGTGATTGATCAGATTTCCTTTTTATTGAGAGTAATTGCAGAAATCTTGAAGACGTAGGGTAAGCAAATATTTTATCAACAAAATGCATACCGCACAGGAAGTACTTCAAAGAATCAACAACTGGGATCTCATCTTATTAAAAAATGTTTGCACGTCAAAAGAAATCACCAACAAAATGAAAAGAAATCCCATAGAATGAGAGAGAATTTCAACCAGCAGTCCCTCAGACAAAGGACTTATATCCAGAATATATAAAGAACTGAAAAACATCAAGCCCCCAAATTCAAAGACCCGTATCAAAAAAGGGCATCTGAGATGAATACACATTTCTCAGATGAAGAAATACAAATGGCAAATGAATACATGAGGAAATGTTCCCCATCACTGGTCATTCGAGAAATGCAAATTAACACAACACTGAGATTCCATCTTACTCCAGAAAGAATGGCTGCCATCAAGAAATCAACTGATAACAAATGTTAGTGGAGAAAAGGGAACTCTCCTCCACTACTGGTGGGAGTGTAGACTGGCGCAACCATTGTGGAAATCATTGTGGAGACTCCTCAAAAAGCTAGGATTAAAAATTTGTGATAAACTGCAAAATGTTTAGAAAGGATAACATGAATTGTACCATGATTGATGTCGCTTTTGTGAAGTAATGCAAATGCTTTGTCATTTGTCTCTTGAGGGGTGAGCTATTGCTTTTTGTAAATGTCATGCCGGGTGTTTACATACAAGGCATATATTGCACTTGATAGAAATGATGGGAGGAGAGTGTGTGGCCAGCGTCATTTAAAAATCTCTGGTCCTCCCAGGGAGTTAGCTCAGCGGCATAAGCGCCTGCCTGGCATGCATGAGGCCGTGAGTTTGATCCCTGGTACCACGAAAAAAAAAATCTCTGACCCCAAAACTCACATACAAAAGAGTTTTGGATAATTACAAACATCTGCAAAATGTAAGTAAATCATGTCAACAAAACTAACACAAGAGCAATCTCAAGAGATGCAAAATTAATGGTCATTACATTGCAGAAATCAAAATGTCAGTTTTTGTACAAATATAAAATATGGCCAGATACGTGACTAAAGAGTAATATAAGAAATCAAGATCCAATTCTGGAGAAATAAAAGAAGGCTGTGAGAGGGTTAAAAAAAAAAAAAAAAGGAAATAGTCAT